CTTTCCAGCATCGCCAAGGAACAACTCAAAAAACCCAATTAAAAAAAAAAGAGAAACCTCAAATCTCCAAATCTCAAACCAGATCTCTACTGAATCTAAACTCACATTAAGAACTAAACTACAGTAAAGTTAAAAGCAATTGTTTAGGGTTAAGGTTAGGATTAGGGTTACGTAGACACATAAAAATAGTTTTTACTTATTTTTATGAGTCTACGTACATTTTATGAAATGTAAATGTGTTTCTGTTCTGTGTGTAACAATAGCAATATGTGAGATTTTTGTGGTTTTTTTGTGTAAATGTGTTTCTGTTCTGTGTGTAACAGTAGCAATATGTGAGATTTTTGTGTCAAGTCATCATTAAAGGGCCGTAATCTGTCAAAAGACATTCATTAAACATGATCTTTTCCAAATCTTCTTTAACTAATAACAGTGGTTCAGCCAAGATATTGGAATTTCAAAATGAGTTTTATAGCCATTAAATCTTGTTATTGTTTTCATTTCCATGTCCCGCGCCGCCCTCCACTGTTTAACCAATCAGAAAGTCTGTTATCCGGGTTGCCAGAACTCACCGTGTCAAGATAATCTCACTGGTAAAGTACCATGTGTCCGCAGAACTAAAAAGGTCTTGTTATGATTCTCAAATTTATGATTTCTATTGGGACCTTTGTGAAAAAGGTGTTGATTATAGATTTGTTGTTGACAAAAATCTTGTCTATTCAGTTATTATGGTCCCAGCTGGATTAATCTGCATATCTGGGTCAACAATATATACAATCTTATACAATATTATTGTCTAAATGTTTATTTGGACAAGTTTAGAAAGTTTCCTTTTGTCTCAGTTTGGTCATTATTTGGTTTTTGGTTATTTGAATCCTCTACACCAGACTATCTTACAATCGTCTAGAATAGAAGAACCAAAGAACTTACATTTTGACAATATTTATAGAGTACAGTATGAAATTAAATAGTAAAATGTATCTATGTTATAATAATCCATCAAGGACGGCCTCAAAGCTCACGGGACGTCCTAGAATCCTCTTGGACTCTCGACGGCTCGGCTCCGGGATCAAACCGCAGCCTCCGCAGTCTCTCTTCCGCACTTGATACTAAATGATTTGTGTTAAAAATATCTCGTCTCTCTTCTCCTTAGACACACAGTCCCACTGCGCCGTGTGCTCACTGAGCAGCATACAGCTTTTATCTGGTTAGATATTAGCACCGCAGATCACAGAGGCGTTGATGCAAGGGACGAGGAGAAGGCGATGGGAGTGCAAATAAGGACAGGAATAACCAGGGCTGAAAAATACAGCTGGACTGGAGCTGAATCAGGACTGAGTCAGGACACAGCAGGAACAACAAATCAATGTTTAACCGAGAATGTGGGAGGAAATTAGGAGAAATTCTGGATTAAACAAGGAGAGGTTGAGACTGATCAGACCAGGTAAATGTCGCTGCTTTTCCTACTGTCATAAAAATTTTCCAACTAGAAAAGATATTTGTAAAATGAGATTCTTTCTCTGCAAATGTCTTCACTCATTTCTTGCGCCGCACATGTCGATAATGAGTTTCAAAGCTTTAAGAGTCAAGAGTGAGTTTTGCTGTCGTGGTAAAGCTAAAAACAGCTGGCATGCAAACATCAAACATCCTTTTCTCTAAAGATTCTCTAAAGTTTAGTAAAACTGTTTCTTGGCATATTACAGTACATTAAACAGCTTCTACATTCACAGGTTCTATGAAATCAGGCTTGATTTTTGTTGTAACTAAAATGTACGCACAATTTGTAAACTTCCCGGTACTTTCAAACTGGACGATTAAATACTGAACATGTTTTGTGCAGACAGAGGCTACGAGGCGACTCTGGAAACATGGGAGGGGCACAGAGGGGTAATGGAAGATTATTGAAAGATTGTCAGAATTATCAATTATGATTTCAAACTATATATCAACAAAAATACTATTGCTCACATTTTTTTCTAGAGGAGATGTTTTTTCAAATCATTGAAGCAACTATTGTATTACAGCAGGGATGTCAAAGTCAAAGACATCAGAGGCCAAAAAAACACATTTGCTACAAGCCAAAGGTCGGACTGGTTCAAAATGTATTAAAGCATATTAAAATTATGTATATATTATGTATATGTGTGTAAGCAAGAATATATTTGTCATTAATATGTTTTATTTTATTTTATTTAAACTTTTTTTTAAAAACATGTAAAAAACTTTTATGTCTTGGTACAAAGACGGACATTACAGGTGGAGCAAACGAGCAACATGTATCTATTTTTTTCTTTTGACGTGTAAAATATTGCTTCAAAAACGTTCAAAAATATATCAATTAAAACAAATTAAAACTAAGTATTTTATTTAGTGATTAAATTAATAATATAATATTTTTGTATGGCTCTGTCAGTCATTGTGAAAACTTTTTATAACAGACTCACAGACAAAAACAAACTTTCTTCAAAGAGAAAACACATGTCCTGAACACTAACACAATATATAAGTGTCATCCTGGGGGCCAAGATAATTCATTCGGGGGCCGGTTCTGACCCCCGGGCCTTGACTTGGACCCCCATGTATTACAGTATTGTATTATATGTATGTTATTATCACATTGTTTTATAGTATTTAACATATGCACAGTACTGAGCTGTCATGATTAGGTGTTTTATAGTATTTAACATATGCACAGTACTGAGCTGTCATGATTAGATGATGTCCTGGTCCATGATATCAACACATTTCTGACTTTATTTTCACTGAGCAAAACTCCTGCAGCTCGACAGCTCCATAAGTGTTCGTGAGGACGAGTGTTGCTGCTGCAGACACGTGTAGCTGCGTGTAAACAACGCCACAGTGTCTTGTCAGGACAGCGGCCGCTCCAGTGAGTAAAGCAACCCTTTAATCTCAGGCAATTAATTAAGAGATTACGGGATTAGCAACACAGCAAATGCAATCAGGCCCGGGAGTGATCTTTAAGGCGATGCAGTCAGCGTCTAAGGAAGGAGACTGCCCCCTGTCCAGAAACTGTGGCAAAGAAAGGATTTTATTTATATTTGTCTCTGGTGGTCCGTCTGCAAATGAAAAAGTAGAGTCCAAACATGACAATAATAATGAGAGGAACCAGGAGAGGAGCCATCATGCTTCCTTTATCATCTCTTTGAGTTTTGGAAGTGGGGACGAGGCCGGCCTGCACCCCCCCACTCCAGGCAGAAGGTCACGCTCTCGTCTTTTTAGTGCGCCACAACGAACAGGAGACATACCAGACATACACACAGCAGGGCTCGCTCAGAGGAGGCCAACACTCCCTTTGAAAGCCCCATAACACACCTCCATTTTTTAATGCATCACAACTACACCATCACACACATGCACTAACAAAAAAACTAGGGCAGTCAAAATGATCATTAACACAGGTTCATACATTTTTTTCATTAATTGCGTAGAAAAAATGAAAGCTTTGGACGCATGACCAGCCTATGCATCCAATAATAACACTCAGAATGGATGCATGAGAGATGGCGACAGAGCAGGTATAGGCCTTCTGGGAATTCAAGTATAAAAGGAATACACACGTGACCGCGGGGCACTTGCTGTTATTTGCTATGAATTCAAACAACGCTGCTCTCTGGATAGCGGGAACCACCTCCGCTTTGAAAACAACACGCTTGCTGTGTGCGTGTCTTTGCGTAACCTGTGCACGCAATAAATACACCGCTGAAGCAGGACCTTGTGTGTTCGTTTCTCCCCGAGTCTCGTCCCTGCAACTAAACTTGCTAAATTAAAGCTGGGGTACGTAAATATTCCCTTGCATTAACAGTTAATTTTGGTTGGGCCCAAAAGTAAAAAGTTGTGAGCAAATCAAACAGATTTACTGACATTCTGCATTTCAGACTTTTTTTAAATGTCCCTCATCTGTAATAAACAATAGTTTTGGTCTGAGTCACTACAGAAAGACAGAATGTTACTAATTAATTTATTAATACATTATTTATAGTTGTTATAATAAATAAATACAGTACACATGTACACTATGTTGTTGAGTTTTTATCGTCCTGCTTCAGTTTTTGTAAACTTTTCACGGCTTGTTTTGGAGTGTGATGAATCCCCAGTGAGTCGAGGTGAAGCTGATATCGATCTATCTTTTCATTTTGCCGCGACGACTCAAAACCCTCTGATATTCTTCGGTGCCATAGAAGGCAATCAGTGCTGAGTGAGCTAATTATTTTCTGTGGTTTCAGACTAGAATATGATAGATCTTTCAGAGTATTAGATCTATTATACAGTTGTTTAGTGTAGATAATATAGATTTGAGCGGCACCTATAGGGAAGTGACAATTTTGTAAACAAATGAATATCGCTTCATTTTCGCTTGTTGTTGAATTGGCCGTACGCTTGGTGTTTTAAATTGTAATTATATTGTGTGGGGTTTGGCTTCAATAAGTGTTTCTCTTCAGCCAAAACCCTGTCAGTCATGTGTTTATGCTTTGTAGACTATTGTAATCTGAGTGAAGAGACTAACTGGGCCTTCCTTCTGTGGCGTCGGCTGCAGCAGTTCACATGTTGTCCCTCTTGGGCCTCCGTACTTGTCCCTCACTTCAGAGAGTTCACTCCTTGACACCAATATCTTACACTGCGACTCAAATGCAATAACCTTGATTCATTTTCAACAATTCCAACCCACATAAGAGCCTTGTTTACTCTCCAGCCATTATTGAATTGAATCGCTAAAGGAATCCTCCACAGAGCCATTAAAACGTCACGATAAGTGGAAATTAGTCAGAGTGTGTTCTTTTGATCACGAGTCGCTAACGTAGCTTTGTTTGAACCATGCAATTATACGCGTACATTAACTCAAAGCTATTACGGACAAATGAGCCTTTTTAGATCCTACGTGTTTTTGCGTTTGTACAAAGCAAGACTCCACAGAGAGAGACTTTGGGCTTTTCTCCAGACGACTTTACATCAAATCTGAAGTATTTTACTGACGTTGAGTTTACCTTGAGTACAGTGATGTTCCAGGCGTAGCTCTCCATGGCCTTCTGCAGTTTTCGTCCCTTCAGACCCTCTTTGGCTCCGATGCGATGGAGGTCTTCGTGAAAATCCAGACCTAGAAACAGAACAGAGCCGCGTGAATTACAAATCAACAGTTTTTGTGTGTGTAATATTATTCATTTTAGTTTGTTTTAATGAACGGCAGTAACTGTAAACACATCAGATTATAGATTTTTTTGTACTCATATTTTAATAGGATTTTCTTTAACAACAAAACCCAGTGCAAAGAGTCAATTCATAATTACAAAAACACATTTTACCATTACAGTTACAACTATACAGAGTGAAAGTAACCACATCCTGAGTAGAAGTGAAATAGAAATTCTTAATAAAAAAATAAATGAAAATTACAAGAGCAGACTTGTTCAATACATTCAAAACATGTCTACCGGTCTCGATCGCATTCAGAAGATGAGATTGTAGTTTTTAAGGCTAATTTCCATCTGAAGTTGTACAGTCGCACTCACAAACACACACTCTTTCAAGCTTCACCTATTGTACATTTTTTTTTAGTGATAGGCAACCCGGAGCACCTGGAGGAAACCTATGCTGACGCAGGGAGAACACACAAACTCCACACAGAAAGGCCCTATTCCTACGTCCAAACCAATTCCATCTCTCGAATACGTGCGTCCGAGATCGTTCCAGACCGAAGAAGGCGTGACGCAAATTGAAGGCAGAGCAGATTTCCCACAGTGTAACGTGTGCAAATTAGAAAAGCGAGCCACGGTGTATTTTTTAAAAAGTCCAATAACCTTGACGATCCCAGCCTCTTTGGGACTTGTGCAAACCCTGATTTTGCCTTTGTAATTTGTCCCCGCTGCTGATCCCTCTCAGACAGTGGAGATTAGCCTGCGGAGACCTGCCTTTCAACCATCTCATTTCTCAATTATCAAGTATTTGTGATTACCATGTAACACACAGACGCACACACGCACGCACACACACACACACACACACACACACACAGCTGGGGTTCTTTGTGTTGGCTTCTCACTGTATGTGTACAATGGCCTGCATGAATAAACCATAGCAATAAATATGGTTGTTTATGATATTGCTGCAGAGAACAAGAGCGTTTAACATAACACTATACTGGATATTTACACCTCTGCGAATGGACGATAAGCGACGTTGAATAAATTGTATAGCGCACATTAATGATCGAGGGAAAAATAAATGACATGCACAGAATAAAAGACTTCAGCTCCATTCGATCACATTACCGGACTACGAGACGGTTATCTGAGTTGAATAATTTACTTACAAACCTGCACATATTTTTACATACATTCCCACACATAGATAGAGGCTGCAGTATAAGGTCTGAAAAGGGGTTGGATGAAGCAAAAGATTATAATCAGGGTTTCCTCCAGAGGGGGGGATGGGGGGGATCAGTCCCCCCCTAGCCATGGCCCAAGGGGGGGATATCCCCCCCTCAATTTTCTTACACATGCATGTATACAATTCTCACATCATAAAGTGCAAAAACATTATTTTCATTGGGATATATCTGATCTGGCTCACTGTCTAATCTATAATCTAAAACATGATAATAAAAAAATCACATACAAACACCAAATCAGAAACTTCTGTACAGGAAAAATGTGTTATTCTTTATTCTGAATCGGAGTCTCCTCAGATGAATAGAGGTTTCTTTTTTCGCGGTCTTGCAGATTTATTTGTAGCATTATTTTCACTGTATATGAACTTGCAATGTTCATCCTGATTGGCTAAGGAAGAACCAGCGTAATGTGTTCTGCGTCCTGATTGGCTAAGGGGTAATATCTGTGCCGTGTTTCCTGTATCACAGCATTCAGACTGACAAATGTAAATCCATGTCTGTGTAGTATATAGTGCCGCGCACTAATATGTACACAGGCCCGGCTAGAGGGCGGAGCAATACACATAGTAGTGATATGTTGAAAGGTGTTCAGTGTGTGTTTAACGGTTAGAGTGAACTGGCGCAGTTATGATGTCCTGATGCTGCAATAAACCTCAATAAGTCTGAAGTAGGGCTGGGCGATTAATCGATTTTAATCATTAATTCGAGTTTTACGTTTAGGGCGATTTCTTTTTTTAAAAATTCGATTTTTATTTTCTCCAGCGCAGAACTACAGCGCTAACGCGCTAACCGCGGGTCTATGGTGTTGAGCAGTCATTTTGAAGCTAACCTAATGCTAACAGTCTCCCTCTGGCCTGATGCTCGCTCTCACAGTTGGTGCTGTTGCAATAGCACTTCAAACGTTCAAGAATCAGACTTTATGTAATCGCCAGAACACACACACGCACACGCACGCAGGCTCCGGTCGTTATGTCCGTACGCCATGTTCGTACGCCACATCTTTCACGCTCTCTCACGCTCGTTATTCCAAAGCGCACTCACACATTGCTCTCATTGCTCTGATACAAACAACGTGTTCCCTGCTGTCTGTTAGCTACAGTAGCTGCTACAGTAGCTGTTAGCTACAGTAGCTGCTACAGTAGCTGTTAGCTACAGTAGCTGCTACAGTAGCTGTTAGCTACAGTATCAGAATGTAAACAGGAAGCTCGCACAATGCGGGAGCCACTGAAGTTAGTATTAGCGCCACCAGCTGGACCGAGCGTTGTACTACAGCACAGTTACTCAGGCATAGTTGAAAGAACAAGCATGAAAACCCGAGGAGGCTTTTGGAAAAGACTGTCTGTTACAACATTTCTATTTTGAGTAATCAGTTTTAAAAATGTGATATTTCATGTAAATAATGCATGTGTTTAATAGGATTGATATATTTGCGATGGGCCTTGTTTGTGTGATTTAAGTTATTTTGAAGGTGCATAGTGTCATTGAAAGTGAAGTTATTATAAAACTGTTAAGCTACATTTTCACTGTTTACAATGGCAGAGCCATCCCGTTTACAAGCATGTTTTAAGGCTTAATTCCTATTACACTTATGCTCCATGGGGATTTAGATTAAACTGCATAAAGGAAAATCTATTTCTTTGTCAGTTGTAGTTTGTTTTTAAATAGAAAAAAATAAATCGATTAAAATCGAAAATCGGATTTGGTGTGAAAAAATCGGAGATTTTTTTTTTTTGCCATATCGCCCAGCCCTAGTCTGAAGGTAACGCCATGTGTCGTCAATGAACTTCTGGACATGTTGCAACGACGACAGCAAAGAGGAGCACGGTGCGGAGCCCAGGCCTTTGACGAGGGATTTTCATGCAGCACTAAGCCCATTTCTTTAAAAAAAATGTACAATTTCGATTTCAAGATTTCAAAAGGCTATAACTTTGAAGTAGTTTGAGATGAAGGCATTTTGTAAATGAGAAATATCTTCAGTATGAACCAAACTTTGGGATGGATGTTGATTCGTCATCTAATTTGCATTTTGTGACATCATCAAGGTGGTGGCCATTTTGGAAAATGTTTATTGAATAAAGATTTCAAAAAGCTGTAGTTTGAGAGTGTATTTTGAGCTCTGGGAATACTGTCAACAGTCAACGTGAAATACCTTTAGTATGAAAATACAATGTGGGATAGGAATAAATTCACTGATCCCATTTATATAGAATATTTTAGCACTGGTCAGCAGCCATATGGAATTGTATTATGTATTAGACCTTCAATGATCAAGATGGCACTGCTTATAGTTTACCAGTCATGAAATCTGCACTTTGGTTTCAATATTACCCTTTCAAAAGACCTGGTGGCATACTGTTTGTCTCAGTGGAAATGAGGCTCCAGAATTCATCGTTTAGAAACAGAGCGATTAAATGAATGGGCTCAGAACTTGTCAGATTGTCTCAACAATAAACAACAGGCTCTTCAACATTTCTGATCCACTTTTATGGATTTTCTTCCTCTCTGCCTTCATCATCATCATCGCCGTCCGTAAAGGCAGATTAGCGGTATATACAGTCTATGCTTCTGCCACGTCTCCCGCGTTCCCCGCTGCATTCACCCACATGCCCGGTGTTATGACGCCCCTGTCCCCTTCACCATGTCCCCTGCCTGGCGTTCGCAGAATGTTTCCACTGCGGCCACACACCGCGGTAGAGGTCCGCACATTAAAAGCGGGTGGCCGCTTTATGTTAAAAAGTGCATTGTAGCGGCTCATCCCCGCGGCTTCTCTTTCCAATGTTACTGTAATTAACAGCATAAAGCGGCTATCCGCTTACAATGTGCGGACCGCGGGGCCACACGGAGGACGCAAACTGGGTGACTGTGGACTATTATGGCGCAGACTCCTGTCACTAACAATGTCTGTCTGCTTCCCTGGATACCTGTGTGATTTCCTCCTCTGAATATGAGTGAGCCAGTACCAAATACTTCTCTGATCTCTGGAGACCTCTGGCTCTGCTCTGGCTCCGCTCAGAACTACGGCTCCTGCTTCGCGTCGCTGCGCCGTAGGTGTTTTACAAACTCATTTTACTCTAATACTTTGAATATAACCATTCCCACAAAGGCCGCTCATATTAAAGGCACACATGTCCACTAACTCCTCGTGAAAAATATTAACAAAAATTACTGCAATAAACGTGTGAATTTTTTTTCTGGGGTACCTTGACCCCCCTTTGCAGTCCCCCCCTCAAACAAATTCCTGGCGGAAACACTGATAATTACAAACCTCGCTCACTCAGGCTTTGTATCTGTTTAAATATGTTGATACAGGGAACTTTGAATTCAATACAATTCAGGAAAAAAATTGAGATTTTTGACCCTTTAAAGGTATTTGTAATTGCCAAAGCGTCCACTAGATAGCACTCTCGCAAACTGAATACAGCCGCGAGTAGCGAAGGAGAAGTTTTTGTTTTCAGTTCCAAATGCACAATGGCCACAGCCACGCAGCTCTGTGGCTCAAAGAGAAAATGTTTCTAACAACTTGCAGCCCTCGATAAGCGGAGCGAGGTAAATGTTTTATGTGTTTGTAGGTGTTAGGGAGATATCATTTAGTTTATGTATTTTGTACCTACATGCTACTTATTTGATATGTACTGTGTTTCTCTGTACAGTTTTCACGGTGAACATGAATATGGTGTTATGTCCATAAAAAATAATCACACCCGTCGAAACTTTGTCCTGCTTGTAACCTTGGGGGCCAGCAATAGTGAAAACTCGACCGAACCAGTGGACCTGAGCGACATCAATGAGAGACACGTCGCCAGTCAAGCTAAAGCCTGCTAATGCTACAACTCAGCTACAACTCACCGGCCGCCATTTTGAGTCCATAACCAGTCACAAGAGTAAAGCCACAAAGGCAGTGATAAAGTGAAGGTCAACATGTCAAATCCTGCTGATGAAAATAATGACTCAGAACAGACAAGATCCAGTAGACGTGAGCGTAGCTTTACAGAAAAAGGCAAAGAAATGCATGAACAGGAAATAAAGAAAAACGAAAAAGTGTTTAATAAAGTTTATGAAACTTGGAAAGAACAAGCAAAAGAAATACGAAAGCAGCTAAAAGGTTTCTGTTCTCCTGAGGAACTTAACGATGCCAGCCACAGTATAAGAGCTCAGCAAGATTTAGTAAAACAAAGCTATGAGCCCATTCGTCGCAATCACTCTATGACTCAAGATGTTGTTAAAAGAATGGACGCATGCACTGTAATCTCAACTGATATTTGTGAGCTCATTCAGAAACGACTCGAAACTGTTGAAGAATCTTTCAATGACCGGCTGGAGAAAGAAAGAGTCAGGATAATACTGAACAAACAACAATATGGCTCAATATTTGGAGAAACAAAAACGGAAACCGCCACTGATGTTTCAGAAGCTAAATCAAATGCTAAGTCAAACGCTACCAGTGCAGTGGCTGAAGCTGAACTTGCTGCTAAAATTGAGCAAGCTAATGTAACAAGGGAAATACTTGCACAAGAAGCTAAACTAACAAAACTAGAGAGTGATTGGAAAATGAGAGAATTTCAAGCTAATTCTGCACTCAAAAGGCAAGAAATGGAAATGCAAGCAAAGGTAGAGGAGGAAAAAATGAAACTACAACAGCTGAGGGCAGACAGTGAGGTAAAGGTGGCAGCAGCTAAAGTAAAAGCTTACAACGCTATTGATGGGTCACAATACATTGATGTGTTAAGCCACAACTCAGATAGCCCAATAAAGGATAACACTGCAAATCAGCCCTCTCTTAACCTCCAGGCACCACCATTTCAGCCTTTCAGCACTCTCTCAGGCCAACAAGAGCTCAGTTTGGCTCAAACACTTGCAAGCTCCCTCACTCTGAACCGCCTGCCTGTACCTGAACCCACCATTTTTAGTGGTGATCCCCTAAAGTTTATGGACTGGAAAATATCCTTTATGGTACTAATAGGCAACAAACCATTACCTGTGTGTGAGAAAATGTTGTATCTGAAAACGTATCTTGCAGATGAAGCAAAGAAGGCGGTAGAGGGGTATTTCTTTCGTAACTCTGATCAGGCATATCAGGGTATTTGGGATGTACTAGAAGAAAGGTACGGCAGCCCATTCATAGTTCAAAGAGCCTTCCGAGCAAAGTTAATGAAATGGCCCAAAATAAATGCGAATGAGCCTCTAGCACTTAGAGAGTTTGCAGATTTCCTACAGAGTTATGCTGAAGCCATTCCCCAAGTCAAAGGTCTAGATATTCTTAATGATTGCGAGGAAAACCACAAGCTTCTAAAGAAACTACCCGACTGGATTGTGAAAAGATGGAGTCGCATTGTAGTAGACGAATTGGAAAAAAGTCAAGAATATCCCAGCTTTACTCATTTCACAAACTTTTTGCAAAAAGAAGCTAAAGTTGCATGCAATCCCATTGCCTCCCCATTCTTAATGAATGAAAAAGCTTCAGAAGAGAGAATAATAAAGCGAGCTAAAGCACTCAACACGACTGCCCAAGTCAAATACAATGCACCTCCAGTAACGACAAAGCCTAAACCACCATGTTTGTTTTGCAGTGACGAGTCCCACGGCATAGTTAAGTGTCCCAACTTTGCAGCAAAGGCAAGTGATGAAAAGACAACATTCATTCGAGAAAATCATCTTTGCTTCGGATGTCTCAGAAAGGGCCATGTCACCAAAGAATGCAAAGTGCGCCACTCTTGTGGTAAGTGTGGTCGACGCCATCCAACATGTCTGCATACAGAAAGGTTAATGGAACCAAAACCAAAGGAAACTAAGAACTCAGAAGAAAGTACTAACAAGGAAGAACACAAGGCCATGTCTCATGTTTTGACAAGGAAAACGTCTGCCACATCCAGCATAGTACCAGTCTTTGTGTCAGCTGCCTCACAGCCTCATAAAGAAATACTTACTTATGCCTTACTTGATACCCAGAGCGACTCGTCCTTTATTCTAGGTGAGTTAGCCAATGAGCTTGAAGTGGAATCCAGACCAGTGCAGTTAAAGCTAAGTACTATGACCTCTGTTGACACTGTTGTAGCAAGTAAGCTTGCTTGTAACTTAAAGGTGCGTGGTTTTAACTCAGATACCCATGTACAAATTGATCAAGCTTACTCAAGGGATTTTATCCCAGTTGACAAGTCACATGTTCCCACCAGAGAAACTGCACTTCAGTGGCCACATTTAAAAGGTTTGGTTAACAAAATGAAACCATTACAAGATTGTGATGTGGGATTGTTAATTGGTTATGACTGCCCATCAGCCTTAGCTCCCCTAGAAGTTGTTACAGGTCAAGTAAATGAGCCTTTTGCTCAAAGAACAATATTAGGTTGGAGTATTATTGGGTCAGCAAATCCCCACTTGGACAGACACAACAACCAAAGCTTTGTGCATCGTGTAACAGTAAAAGAAATGCACACGCCATTAGCTACAGATGTGCTTAAAGTTTTGGAATCAGACTTTAATGAAAGAAACTATGAAGACAAATATGTATCTCAAGATGACATTCGTTTCATACAACTTTTGAGCAACACAATTGTGCAAAGGCCTGATGGACACTATGAAATGCCACTTCCTTTCAAAGATGACCATCCACCATCCCTCCCAAACAACAAGAAGCTAGCCACTGTGAGACTGCAGCATCTAAAGAAAAGGTTAAAGGCTGACAAACAGTACCATGAACATTACACAGCCTTCATGAATGACACCATAAAGAATGGTGATGCAGAACTAGCTCCCCTTGTGTCTGAGAGTGAAAATGTGTGGTACATCCCACACCACGGGGTGTACCACCCGAAAAAACCTAGAAAGTTGAGAGTGGTCTTTGATGCTTCTGCAAAGTATCTAGGCATCAGCTTAAATGACACCACTCCTCACCGGCCCTGATATGACAAATTCTTTAGTGGGAGTTTTGTGTCGCTTTAGAAGGGAATCGGTGGCAATCATTTGTGATATACAGAAAATGTTTCACCAGTTTTTTGTTACTTCAGAGATGCGCAACTACTTGAGATTCCTCTGGTGGGAAAATGGAGAGCTGGACACAGAGCCCAAAGAATACAGAATGACTGTCCACCTATTTGGTGCTGGCTCCTCACCTGGATGCGCTAATTTCGGCCTGAAGTATCTTGCACGGCAACACAGATCTGACTACCCCAAAGCCTCAGCCTTTGTTGAAAATTGCTTTTATGTTGACGACGGGTTGATGAGCGTCCCATCAGTCAGAGAGGCCAGAGACCTCATAGCTGAGTCCCAAGAACTGTGCAAACTGGCAGGCTTGCGTCTGCACAAGTTCAATTCAAGCCATGCAGATGCTCTTTCACATCTCGAGTCCTCAGATAAAGCAGACACTGCCAAACCGCTCAATCTCAAACCTGACACACACTCAGACCACGTGCTTGGTATACAGTGGACTATCACAAATGACACTTTCAGCTTTAATACCAGCACAAAGGAGCAGCCTCCTACCCGTCGTAGTGTACTGTCAGTTATCTCATCCCTGTTTGATCCACTTGGGTTTGTAGCTCCTTTCTCTCTGAGTGGAAAAACCATCCTCCAAGAATTATGCCGCAGGGGTATTGAATGGGATGACCCCATTCCGGAGAACTTGTGCACACGGTGGGAGGAATGGAAAAGTGGTTTGCAAAGTTTAAAGATGGTCTCTGTCCCCCGATGTTACCACCCTCCCGACTTTGACAACATTGTAACAGTAGAATTACATCACTTTAGTGATGCGAGCAATGTAGGGTATGGGGCATGCTCGTATTTAAGATACAAAAACGACAAAGACCAAGTTCATTGCAGCCTAGTGATAGCTAAAGCAAGGGTCGCACCCACAAAAGTCACAAGTATACCGCGACTCGAGCTTTCAGCTGCAGTCACTTCAGCCAAACTAAGTGTAATGCTTAAATCAGAGCTCGAAATGCAGATCAATGAAGAGCACTTCTGGACTGATTCTCAAGTGGTACTCGCTTACATTAATAATGAGGCGCGCAGGTTCCATGTGTTTGTCTCAAACCGTGTTCAGTTTATACGACAAACAACAGATCCTAAACAGTGGCATTATGTCAGCACAGAACAAAATCCCGCTGATCATGCCTCCAGAGGGCTCAGTGCAGCAGACATCACTTCAACTAACTGGTTATCAGGCCCAAAGTTCCTGTGGGAGCCAGATATCCCATATCCATCAAACACGACACTCGAACTGTTAGTTGGTGATCCAGAAATAAAAACAGTCAAAGTGCTTGCAACTCAAGTAAACAAAGAAAGTGACATTCTGAGCCGTCTCACAAGATTCTCGAGCTGGTCAATGCTTCTCAAAGTGATTGCTAGGTTAAAGCGACTCAAATCAAACAAAAATCAGCAACCCAACTTTGTAACTGTAGAGGAAAGAAAGGAAGCTGCTGGCCTCATTGTCGGCCTTGTGCAGCAAAAGGCTTTTCCCCAAGAGATTGAAAGGCTGAAGGTGGGAGAAAACCTTCCCAGTACAAGTCCCCTCTTCAGATTAGACCCTATATCAGACAATGGACTTCTTCGTGTTGGAGGCAGATTAAAGAAATCCACACTGAGTCAAGGACTGAAACATCCCATCATTCTTCCAAAAGGCCATCACATAACAAAGTTGATAATGTCACACTTTCACTCTGAGATTTGTCACCAGGGCAGAAGCCAAACATTAATGGAGCTGAGAGCGAATGGATTTTGGGTGATTGGTGGAAGTAAGGAGGTCGCAAAGCACATAAACAAATGCGTGCAGTGTCGCAAGTTAAGACGCCCAACAGAAGAACAACGAATGTCCGAACTACCAAAGGAACGAGTTGAGATCTCAGAACCATTTATGTACAGCGGTATGGACTGCTTCGGCCCGTTTGTCACAAAGCAAGGCCGCAAAGAGCACAAAAGGTATGGACTGCTGTTCATTTGCCTCTCATCCCGCGCAGTTCACATAGAAATGGTTGAAGATCTATCCACAGACACATTCATTAACGCATTGAGATGTTTTATCAGTCTAAGAGGAGCTGTTTGCAGGTTGTACTGTGACCAAGGCACAAACTTTGTGGGGGCAAAAAATGAACTCAAAGAGACACTAAAGCAATGTGACATTAATGCCCTAGAAGCGTTTTTGGCTGAAAAACAATGTGAGTTTGTGTTTAATGCTCCATCTTCTAGTCACGCAGGAGGCGTTTGGGAGCGCCAGATCCGAACAATCCGAAATGTTCTCAATGCTTCCATCTCTCAGTGCCCAGGAAGATTGGATGATTCTTCTCTTAGGACACTTTTCTATGAGGCAATGTCAATAATAAATGGACGACCACTGAGTGTTGATGCAATAAATGACCCAAAGTCACCTGAACCACTCACTCCAAACCACCTCATACTAATGAAATCCAAAGTTGCTTTACCTCCACCAGGGAAGTTCATAAAGGAGGACTTGTATGCAAGAAAACGGTGGCGTAGAGTGCAATATCTCACTGAGCAGTTCTGGAGTAGGTGGAAAAAGGAATACCTTCTGAACATCACCACAAGACAAAAATGGCATGTACCACGTCGTAACCTTCAAGTCAATGACATTGTTATTATCAAAGAGGAAATGCTTCAAAGGAATCAGTGGCAACTCGGACGAGTTGTAGAAGCTCTCAAAGAAGATGATGGACTAGTGCGCAGAGTGAAGATCCAAACAGGCATTAGGGATCTGTCTAAGAAACAAGTCACGCCACAGAAGCCTCACATAATTGAACGGCCTGTGCAAAAGTTAGTAGTTCTTGTTGAAAGTAATTAAGAGTAAGAAATGTATTGTTTGGTTCCAAGCTTACGCTAAATGTAATGCTAAAAGAGTTTTGTTTTTGTTTTTTCTGTCAAGCATTGGTAAATAATTTAAATCACATATATTATAAAGTTAATATACATGATTTGGTGGGAGTGTAATTGCCAAAGCGTCCACTAGATAGCACTCTCGCAAACTGAATACAGCCGCGAGTAGCGAAGGAGAAGTTTTTGTTTTCAGTTCCAAATGCACAATGGCCACAGCCACGCAGCTCTGTGGCTCAAAGAGAAAATGTTTCTAACAACTTGCAGCCCTCGATAAGCGGAGCGAGGTAAATGTTTTATGTGTTTGTAGGTGTTAGGGAGATATCATTTAGTTTATGTATTTTGTACCTACATGCTACTTATTTGATATGTACTGTGTTTCTCTGTACAGTTTTCACGGTGAACATGAATATGGTGTTATGTCCATAAAAAATAATCACACCCGTCGAAACTTTGTCCTGCTTGTAACCTTGGGGGCCAGCAATAGTATTTAAGGAGGATTTTATTAAATTTTAGGAAAGTACCGCCCTCTCCACTTTTTGACCAAAACTCTCTGGTCTTATTTGACGAGCACGAGTCGCCAGAATGATTGACAGTTGGGAGGTCCAATAGTCTTGATGATCTACCCGGAAGTAAAACATCCTCAGATATTAATGGGCGACACAGGGGCTGAGTGGATTGCTCTCTCACTTCTCAGTAAGATGGATCTGGGTTCGAATCCCGGTCAGAACAGGGACTTTGTGGAGTTAACATGTTCTCCCTGTGTCTGCGTAGGTTCCCTCCAGGTGTTACGGTTTCCCCTACCACTAAAAACATGAGTGAGGGAATGGATGGTGTTTGGTCAGAGGTTTTGATGCTCCAGTGTGTTTCGCTTCCGTCATCACCGCGTGGAGAGAATAAAACGATCTCTGAACATTGTAAAGCTTTTTGTGTGGCCTTGGTCTGTTAAAATGCGCTATATAAATACAGATGGCTTACTTATACTTACTTGATGCATTTTTACAAGCAAAAATAAAAATGATTTAAAAATGAAAAACTCAAATCCAAGGTAAAAAAAAAATCCAAAATGGAACCAGGAACAAACACAATGGACCGAAAACAAGAGGGCGCAGGTAAAACACATCAGGGCGGGGCAGACAATCAAGACAGGTGAACCAAAACAGGAAGTAAAACTGAAAAATGAAACCAAAGAGGAGTGAAGTCAAAATAAAACACAATAACTTAATAACTAAAATCCACAGCATGACAATCTCTCTTTTTGAACACATTCTCAGAAAAGTAAGATAAAAAATTGAAAAACTAAAAATATAAATATCAGCTTCATTCTTTCACATCGCCAAAACTACTGGAGAATATTCAATCATTCCCACTCCAATTCCACTTTCTAATTCCAAAATCTCAACTAAATCATGTTTTTGCACAAATAGTTTTCACCATTGTAGCATTATGGATAAACAAAGACACATCCTATTTATTCGTTAACCGCTTATTAATGTGTCTTGCATTTCACAGCCTTGTTGAAGTCTCTCACATTCGCACACACGAGCCACTATTTAAGTTTAAACTGCTTCCAAGTTGGTTCATTTATGCCTCACAGCACTTTTTATTGTAGTTTTAAAGTCAAATGCCGTGTCAATGTGGGTATTAATTGGTGATACTTTATGTATCTCCAAAACAATATTTATGAGCGGGCAGACGATCCCAGCACCAGATAATGATGGGCTACCTAGCAACCACAGATTCTCCTAAGAACAGGTTTTCCCTGTGAATAATGAACGCTTTGCTTTGTGTCACAACAAAATATATAGTTTTCATACCTGAGAAACTGCAACATGTTAAATAACACTGGGTAACTTTTTTCAGTTTAGAAGAAATATTTGAAGTTTTTTGACCATTCATTCATTTTGATCTTTAATGATGATAATTCTTAAAGGAGCAGTATGTAGAAATCTGGCCAAAAGTGGTACTGCAACCTCTTCCACAATCCCCGACTCAGGTTGCCAGATATGCAGACGAATCCAACTGGGACCATAATCTCTGAATAGCCAAGAGTTTTACCAAAAGCAAATCTAAAACCAACACCATTGGTCAGAGGTAGAAATCCTCATTTTATTTCTTGTTTTGTCGTTAAGGATTTGAGAATCATAACAAGACCTTTTTTACTTTTGCGGCCACATGGTACTTTATCAGTGAGATTTGCTCGACGCGGTGAGTTCTGGCAACTCAATCACAGACTTTATGATTGGTAAAACGGTGGAGGGCGGGACATCGAAGATTAAAGAGCGACTAAACACCTGTGCCCAGCCTTACTCCGCCCACATGAAGATTTGAAAATGTTCTCTAAAAAGGGCGTTGCCTGGAGGACTAAGGGACAAGAAGGGGGGCTTAGAGTTGGGCGTGGTCTGGGCTGTGATTGACAGCTCACTTGTCACACAAAGAAAAAGTTGTCATTGCTGCTTAAAGCAATAGTTTACAGACCAGAAAGTCTCATTCCACCCTTGTTTACACACTTAGATAATTGTAAAGCTACACACCTGAACCTAATCACACACAATAATCTCAGAATGACTCATGTAATTTAATTTTAATCCACTAGATGGCGCCAGAATACTCTAGACTGCAGCTGGGGCGTGTGTGAGAGTTGAATGGGTTCACATCACTGGCTCTGACAGACTGACGTCACACAAAACAACTGATGTCATAGAGAACTTCAGAGTCAATGGAGAGGCCAGAACCAAATTCAAATGTAGTACCACCAAAAAGGTTGAGAGGGCGCCACACAGCGTTTTTTGGCTCAAAAGTGATATTTTATCTAATTTGAACTAAAATGTCAAAAAAATGACCAGGATATGTAGACAGCACTACAATAAACATACTTATGCAGTTTATGAGTTAAAAAAAGTTGATTTGGTGTTTAGTCGCTCTTTAACAAGATTTACGGGCTGTAAAACTAATTTAGAAATTTGAATATTTCGGCTGAACTACTTTTATCAATGTTTCATTAATGCCTTTTGACAGATTAGGGCCATTTATTGACATGAAAATCCTACAATTCGATACTTTAAGTAAGTATGTATGTAATCTATATTCTTGAATAAGGGCTAATTATTTGTCTTTGATTAGACAATGTATGGATACCTATATATTTGACAGGCTCGAGAATTTTAGAGAAGTTATTCATTTATCCTGTGTGCTCCCCCTTCCTAACACATTTCTGTAAAATTACAATGGAATTTAAACATTAAAGAAATGTTACTTTGAAAAACAATTCAAACATGCAAATTTAAGTATGAATTGGTTAAAAAAACATTCAGTGGCGTGTGATGACAAAAAACGTTACAATACCATAAAATCACAATGTGAATCACAATGGATTACCGTAATTTAACATCAACTTGTTGTATTTTCAGAATGCTGGGAAATGTTTTGCCAGCAAGCAACCATGAGTGTAAGAGGCGTGGGTAAGAGCTTTAAACTCCTGCTTTTGTTAGAATGATGCTCCCATGTTGGGGATGTTATAGAAGTAAAGATTTCAACTACTTTCTTGTATAAACTGAAGATGATAAAACATAATTGAAGTGTTGTGTTCATTAAAGGAAAACAAAATTAAACTGTGTAGAATTGGTTCAATAAAACTATTTAGAAACAGAAACAGTCAAATTGTGTACATACAAAAGGAACATTATAATACTGTTTTTGTTGGACGTGAATTAACAGGAACATACAGTTAAATCCTGAAATCACAAAGTCATAATGTGATTCAGTGAAACAGTCTCCATTAAAATTATCAACAGAAATGCCATGTTGAGAAAACGGTAAATCCCTGGAAAATGAAAAATAGGTTAAAAATTGCTCAAATATGGCAAAATGTCTTTTTTTTAGCACATTCTGACATTAAACAAGAATTTTCCAATGGAAGAAGCAAAACGATCTTGTTTTTTTAAAAGATACAAGAAATGTCTAGCTTGGAATGAGAAAATAAAGCAACGGTTCTTTAAACAAGACAAGAAGGCTTTGTCCTATTGACAAATCTTGTTCAGAATGTTCTCAAATTAAGATAAAAAACCACTTGAGTCAGTTACTTCATATTCGATCATTTTTTCCAGTGCGTTTTTGTGACTTGAGCCCGATAGTCACTCCATCCAGGACTGTATTTGGATTGATGCAATAACACACCAATATTTCCCTCCTGCACGGAGCGAGGAGCATCTGGAGATCAGGTCCCAGCTGTGCTCTGATCCTCCATTAGCTCCGAGTGTGACAGTGTGTGTGTGTGCGCGTGTTTACTGAGCCATGTGGGGACCTGTTCAGACACTCACGCAGACCTGTCGTCCTCCCGGGCAAACAACACTTCGTCCACTGCCGGGGAAATTAAAATAGTCGTGTTATGTAACTGAAATATTTTCGGTGCCACTTGTGATTCATGGTAAGTATAGGTTTTGAGTTCAATTCTACCTCCAGACGGGGCCTTTCGGTGTGGAGTTTGCATGTTCTCCCTATGTCCTACCAATATGCTGCAAAAAGTGATGAAAAAAAAAGTTACAATTGCAAAATGTTTCTGAATTTGAACACATTTTCACTGCCTTAAAACAAGATTTGCAGATTGAACAAGCTACAGTAAATGACCTTGTTTTAAAAAGATAGAAGAAATGTCTCGCTTGGAAATAGAAAACAAAGCAACATATTCTTGATTTAAGACTAAATTACTTTGTCCCATCAGCAAATCTTGTTTTAGCACAGTCAACTCAAATGAAATAAAAACCACTCCATTGAAGCATTTAAAACCTCATATTTTATCACTTTTTGCAGTGCACAGTGGGATAAAAATTCTCTTCTAGATTGATCTATTTTTCTTTCATTGTTTGTTTTGTTTGGACAGGTAATCCCACAGTCACACTCACAGACACACACCGATACAGGTTTTTAGAGGTAGGGGAAACTGGAGCACCCGGAGGAAACATACGCAAACATGGGGAGAACGTGCAAAGTTCTGACCGGGATTCAAACACAGAACTTGAGAGTGCAAACCAGAATATTAGAATATTTAACAGAAATCCAATCACACCACTAGAAAAAATTTAAAGAATAAATGTAAGAGAATTACAAGCCACTGTTTGATACTTTTTTATGCTGAGATCTGATTGGCTGAATGAGTGTGATCCTCTTTTTTTTACTTTCAGTTTGAGAAACCTGATCTAAAAACTAGTGATGGATCCAATCTGGTTTGAGAGCCAGGATTCAATTTCTTATCAAATTATTCCGTTTTTTTGGGTATAAAGTAAACCTCATTTAGTACTAATTTGAAACTTTTTTACTCTATCACATCTTTACATCAGCCTTTTCAGACAAAAGAGCAAAAAAACTAAAACTAACTCAAAGGGCTCAAGTATTTTTTCACCACATTTCACTTTTGTTAGACTCTTTCCAATGCGACAAACAACAATTTATGAAAGAAAGTTAGTTTTAAGTAAACTGCGACACCTACAGCAATGTTTAAAATGCGTTTGTTGGAACATCCATCCATCCATTTTCTTCCCCTTAATCCATTTCTGGGTCGGGGGGTGGCAGTCAGAGCTGCACCCAGTACACAGAGCACCAGCCCCTCACTGATCCTCCTGCAGGTGCTGAGTCCACAGGAGGACGGCTGCTCTTTATCTTTCAGTGGGTGCTTCAGGCAAAGTGGGGTTAAGTGTCTTGCCGAAGAACACAACGACATCAGAGGGTGTCGTGAAGTAGGTCTTGTGGTGGGCTCGAACCCACGACCTTCAGGCTCAAAGGCCAATGCCAAGGCCAATTAAGGATTTATGTATGTGTATGTACAGTATATGTGTGCCCTTATACATACAGTACACACATACATGTGCATGTGTGTGTAGGTGCATGTATGTGTAGAAGTGTGTGTCTGTGCACGCATGGGTACGTGTGTATGTCTGCTTATGTATACATACAGTGCCTTGCGAAAGTATTCGGCCCCCTTGAACCTTTCAACATTTCGCCACATTTCAGGCTTCAAACATGAAGATATAAAATTATTTTTGTTGTTGTCATGAATCAACAACAAGTGGGACACAATCGTGAAGTGGAATGAAATGTATTGGATAATTTAAACTTTTTTAACAAATAAAAAACTGAAAAATGGGGCGTGCAATATTATTCGGCCCCTTTACTTTCAGTGCAGCAAACTCAGTCCAGAAGTTCAGTGAGGATCTTTGAATGATCCAATGTTGTCCTAAATGACTGATGATGATAAATAGAATGCACCTGTGTGTAATCAAGTCTCCGTATAAATGCACCTGCTCTTTGATAGTCTCAGGGTTCTGTTTAAAGCGCAGAGAGAACCATGAAGACAAAGGAACACACCAGGCAGGTCCGAGAGACTGTTGTGGAGAAGTTTAAAGCCGGATTTGGATACAAAAAGATTTCCCAAGCTTTAAACATCTCAAGGAGCACTGTGCAAGCAATTATATTGAAATGGAAGGAGTATCAGACCACTGCAAATCTACCAAGACCCGGCCGTCCCTCCAAACTTTCATCTCAAACAAGGAGAAGACTGATCAGAGATGCAGCCAAGAGGCCCATGATCGCTCTGGATGAACTGCAGATAACTACAGCTGAGGTGGGGATGGTGTGTTCAGGGTGATGAGCTGTGTTGCTTTTACGCCAAACATATCGTTTTGCATTGTGGCCAAAAAGTTCGATTTTGGTTTCATCTGACCAGAGCACCTTCTTCTACATGTTTGGTGTGTCTCCCAGGTGGCTTGTGGCAAACTTTAACTTTACGAGACTTTTTATGGATATCTTTGAGAAATGGCTTTCTTCTTGCCACTCTTCCATAAAGGCCAGATTTGTGCAGTGCACGACTGATTGTTGTCCTATGGACAGACTCCCCCACTTCAGCTGTAGTTCTTTTTCTAACTTCGTTCGGTGTTTCACTATGGGAATCGCCTTGGGCGTGACCATCCATGGAAGCTCCAATGGCACCACGTCTGTCTTTTGACAGACAGGTTGACAGTACCTAGCACCGCCCACCTACCCTGGTACAGTCAACCTCCTCCTTTTGGAATCATTCTCGCTTTCTTCCCGCGTGGAAACCATATCTTTTAGCTCCTTCAGCGTTCTCGGACCTTAGGCTAGCTTCTGCTTAACAGTTCACAGACGAGCCGTAAAGGATTTCGTTGGCGAGCGCAGTTGCTGGTGCTTTGGTTCACCGACGCTGGGTAAGTCCTTACAGTCTTACCGCTAAGCTATTATTATTTTGTTACCGGAGCAGTGACCGCGTCAAGGCGAACTGCTCTTGTGTTTACGGGGACAGATCACATTAAGTTGCGGTCTGTCCTATCACCTTGCGGTTAGCATTCACTTGTTAATCCAGGGCTCTCGCGTAAAGCGGAGTCCTTCTGTTCGGTTGGTTAGTATTAATTTACTGGCCAACAGATTGTAGTGCGCTGTTCTGTTAACGTGTTGTGGCGAACAGAATTTGCCTGGACCTGATTTTTCGACTTAAAACCCGAATTGTCTGGTTCATACAATCGTGCTCACTCCAGCTCTCCTCTCTGTCAGGCATGTCTACGGCTACCACCCCCGCCAAAGGGTCGGATCCGAAGCCGAAGGAGGCTGCATCCCGCTCATGTCCCGCGTCATGCGGGTCTGCCATCTCAGGCAGGGACCCTCACCCTATGTGCATAACTTGCATGGGCGCTAAACACGCTCAGGCAGCGCTCGCTGACCGCGAGTCCTGCGGGTATTGCGCATCTATGCCTGAGAAAATATTGGAGAGGAGGCTCAGAGTTGCGGTGGCTCATCCCCACGACCCATTGCTGGCGGGGACCACCGATAAACCCACAGCCGTCACTCAACAGCCCCGTAAGACTGAACTATGGTCAGATATGCTGAATGACGATGACGCTGATATGCCGCCATTATTCGAGGACCTGCTCGAAGTGGACCCAGGCGACGAGGGCGCAGACGGCGATGATGCCGCTTCTGACTTCCTCGAGGCTGTGGATATGGATGATGTGGAGGAGGACTCTACATTCCCAGCGGCCCAGTCCCGACCCTCCAGCGCATCTGAGGCTGCGACTCCCGTCGATAGCAGCCTATATGATGTGTGCAAGCGCGCTGCCGCCAAGCTTAACATAACCTGGCCAGCCGCTGTAGATGCGGAGGATGGGGAAAGGGATTTATATGACGGTAAACGGCTCCCGCCAGCGCATCCACCTCCGAAGCAACTTCTCCCTGCTGTCAGCGCATGCATGAGAGAGGTGGGGAGGTTTTGGAATAACCCACTTAGGAGCAAGCTTCCTGTACAGGGCTATTCAAAGCTGGAGATCCATGGGATGAAGGAGCTGGGGTTGGCCGAACCCCCAGCGGTGGAGCCTTCAGTGGCTTTTCACCTCCATCCTAATCGCCGTTCCGTCTCAGCCTCAAGTCAGGTTTCCCTGCCCACAAAATCAGAGAGAGTTACATCCTCCATTCTGCAACGCATGTACAGATATGCTTCTCAATCTGCATGCGTACTGAATACTGTGACTTTACTGTCCGGTTATCAAGGGGAACTACTTGAGGAAATGGGACAACAGCTGGACTCCGGGTCTCCTAACCCGGTCCTCTGGGAGGAAATCTGCGTGGTAAATGACCTCATCCTACGCTCTACTCGTGGAGCTGTCCAGGGCTGCGGCCATGTCATGGGACTGGCCGTAGCGGGTGAGAGGGGTCTATGGCTCAACCACTCAGGTCTGACAGACGCTCAGAAGGCTGAAGTTATGGACACTGCTTATGACCCTACCAAAGGTCTATTTGGTCCGGCCCTGGAGAAAATGAAGGAGACCAGTACCCTCCGTAAAGAGGAGGGTGCGGCCTTTAATCTTTGTCTGCCAAGGAAACAACCTCCTCGTCCAGCGCAGCCCCAGAGAGCGGGCCCCTCTGGACAGACAGGCCCCAGGGTTCCCAGGGCGGGCCCTGGGCCGCAGAGGGGGGCAACCCAGCACCCTGGCCAGCATTCCAACCAGCATTCTGGCCAGCAGCAACGGCCAGGCAACTCCAGACCATGGGGAAAACACTCCTATGCTGCGGCTGCAGCAAAAAACCGCTCTTCTCAGTCCGGGGAGAGCAAAAAGAAGCGCAATTCCTAGCAATCAAGCTTCTTCACCTGTTCCCCCTCTGAAAAGGAGGAGAATGGACCCTGGTACCAGTTCAGAGGCCCCGCACAGTTCTCCAGGCGACCTCTCTGGCTTTCTCTCCCCTCGCACGTTACAGGGAATGAGTCTTGGGTCTCATGTTCACAAAACACTTTTTCAAAAAATAAAGTTGTTAAACTCACATCCAGGCCAAGGGCTAAGGGTGAGTTATCAAACAAACAAAAAAATTCAATTAAGTTTGGATCATTCCCTTCGTTCGCCTCCAGAGGGAGCTCACGCTCCTTCTCAGGCAGAAGGCTCTGCTCCTCTCAGGGGAGTGACGTCACCAGGGATTCCCCTGGTGCAAGCCCCACTCTCTGTCAGAGCGGAGCAGTGGCGCGCATGCGCAGTCAATCCTTGGGTTCAATCCACTGTTTCTCGAGGTTACAGACTGCAGTTTGCTATAAAACCACCCTCCTTCAACGGAGTGCTTGTTTCAGTGGCTTCAGGGGACGCAGCCCGTGTCTTACAGGACGAAATTACATCCCTGTTAAGCAAGCACGCTATCCGCATTGTACCAGAGAGCGAGTCTCAGCTGGGCTTCTACTCCCGCTACTTTCTGGTTCCAAAGAAGGGCTCTCTGTCACTGCGTCCCATTCTAGACCTCCGTGTTTTGAACACACATCTACGGAGATTCAGATTCAAAATGTTGACGCACAAAGCTCTGTGTCGTTCAATACGCAAAGGGGATTGGTTCACCACAATCGATCTTGCGGATGCATATTTCCACATCAAGGTGCATCCAGCGCACAGGAAATTTCTCCGTTTTGCTCACGGGGGAACAGCGTACGAGTACCAGGTCATTCCCTTCGGTCTCTCCCTAGCCCCACGGGTGTTCACCACTTGTGTGGAGGCAGCTCTGGCTCCTCTCCGGGCCAGGGGAATACGGATATTCTCTTATATAGACGATTATCTGATATGCGCCAGTTCACAGGGCGCCGCAGTGAGAGAGACTGCCACAGTGCTCAGTCACTTGACCAGCCTGGGTTTCAGAATAAACCACGCAAAGAGCCGGTTGGAACCCAGACAGCAGACTCAATACCTGGGTTTATGCATAAACTCTGTTTCACATCGAGCCACACTGACAGACAAGAGACGGCTGTCTCTCACTCGCTGCTTGGCGTTTTTCAACCCGGGTGCGACAGTCACGTTCAGAACGTGCCTGCGCCTCGCTGGTCTCATGGCGTCAGTAATATCTGTCGTGCGCCTAGGGCTTTTAATGATGAGACCATTTCAACGTTGGATCACAGCGTTGCGCTTGTGTCCCAAACGTCACCTTCACCGCAGAGTGAAGGTGGATTCCCAGTGTGTTATTGCACTACGTCCGTGGCGGGAGGCTCATCATGCTCTTTCAGCCGGAGTGGTTAAGTCCCTGGTTCCCTTGTGGGATTTGTCGGTCGTGCTTGATGCCCTTTGTCATCACCCTTTTGAGCCCTTAGGGGCTGTGGCCTTGAAGTATGTTGCTTATAAGACAGTTCTGCTTCTTGCTCTGACGTCTGCAAAGCGCGTGAGTGAACTGCAGGCTTTTTCTGTCAGCCCCTCGTGTCTGCAGTTTGCGCCGGGGTTATCTAAGGTGCGCTTGCGCCCTAACCCGGCTTTTGTACCAAAGGTGGATTCTGCATATAGCTGCCCTACACTGGAGCTTAATGCCTTCCATCCTCCGCCTTTCTCCTCTGAGGAGGAGCGGCTACTGCACTCTTTGTGCCCAGTGCGCGCGCTGCGGGTATATGTTGACAGGACAGCTGGTTTAAGGAAAGCCGACCAGTTGTTTGTGTCCTGGGCTTCTCCCCATTTGGGAAAGCCGGTGTCCAGTCAGAGGATCTCTTACTGGATTGTGGAGACAATTTCTCTGGCCTATACCTGCAGGGGTATAGTGCCACCGCAGGGGTTGAGGGCACACTCCACCAGGGGTGTTGCCACTTCTTGGGCCCTGTTCCGAGGTGTGTCTGTCCAGGATATATGTGCGGCGGCCAGCTGGTCATCGCCGCATACCTTTGTTCGTTTTTATCGACTGGATGTCTCTGGCTCCTCTTTGGCTCAGGTAGTCTTGGAACCAAGTGCTTCTGGTACTGTTTGAGGTCACCGTCTGGCGCCTCGGTGGTCCTTTTGCTTCAGGAGCAGTTCTTGCAATACGGGAGTTGTCCATATCTCCCATAGTGAAACACCGAACGAAGTTAGAAAAAGAACTTAAGGTTACTTAACGTAACCCCGGTTCTTTGATAACAGAGTGAGGTGTTTCACCTTCATTACCCTCCTTGCAAAGCGGTCAGAAAGCGCTTTTGAATGATTCCAAAAGGAGGAGGTTGACTGTACCAGGGTAGGTGGGCGGTGCTAGGTACTGTCAACCTGTCTGTCAAAAGACAGACGTGGTGCCATTGGAGCTTCCATGGATGGTCACGCCCAAGGCGATTCCCATAGTGAAACACCTCACTCTGTTATCAAAGAACCGGGGTTACGTTAAGTAACCTTAAGTTATCTGCAGTTCATCCAGAGTGATCATGGGCCTCTTGGCTGCATCTCTGATCAGTCTTCTCCTTGTTTGAGATGAAAGTTTGGAGGGACGGCCGGGTCTTGGTAGATTTGCAGTGGTCTGATACTCCTTCCATTTCAATATAATTGCTTGCACAGTGCTCCTTGAGATGTTTAAAGCTTGGGAAATCTTTTTGTATCCAAATCCGGCCTGCTGGTGTGTTCCTTTGTCTTCATGGTTCTCTCTGCGCTTTAAACAGAACCCTGAGACTATCAAAGAGCAGGTGCATTTATACGGAGACTTGATTACACACAGGTGCATTCTATTTATCATCATCAGTCATTTAGGACAACATTGGATCATTCAAAGATCCTCACTGAACTTCTGGAGTGAGTTTGCTGCACTGAAACTAAAGGGGCCGAATAATATTGCACGCCCCACTTTTCAGTTTTTTATTTGTTAAAAAAGTCTAAATTATCCAATACATTTTGTTCCACTTCACGATTGTGTCCCACTTGTTGTTGATTCATGACAAAAAATTAAATGTATGTTTGAAGCCTGAAATGTGGCAAAATGTTGAAAGGTTCAAGGGGGCCGAATACTTTCGCACTGTATGTGTGTGTGTGTGCATGTACGTGTGTAGATGTGTGTGGGAGGCATGAAGACGGCACCCAGGGGCAATTATCCAACAAGTCTGTATCCTCATCAACACGTCAGAGTCACTGGGCAAATTAGAATGATTGGTGCAATAATGAGCGGGCATCAGACACAGGAAACAGGACGGAGGGAGAGACCACACAGCTGCCCTGAGCCTAACAACATGTGTGTGTGTGTGTGTGTGTGTGTGTGTGTGTGTGTGTGTGTGTGTGTGTGTGTGTGTGTGTGTGTGTGTGTCTGTGTGTGTGTGTGTGTCTGTGTGTGTGTGTGTGTGTGTGTGTGTGTCTGTGTGTGTGTGTGTCTGTGTGTGTGTGTGTGTGTGTGTGTGTGTCTGTGTGTGTGCGTGTGTGTGTGTGTGTGTCTGTGGGTGTGTGTGTCTGTGTGTGTGTCTGTGTGTGT